TGCCCCTCCAATCCATTCTCCACCCAGCAGCCAGACAGATCCCATTAAAACACAAGCCAGTGTGGCTTACTCCTCTGCTCAAAACCTTCCAATGGCTCCCATCTTGTGTCAATTAAAGTTTTATATCAACACCAAGACTTCTTGGCCTCACATTCTGATTTCACTACCTTTCCAACGTCATTTCCATCACTCTCCTCTGCACCCACTCTGATCCAGCTACGTGGCCTCCTTTATCCCTTAAACACACCAAGTGCGGTTGCACCTCAGGACTTTTGCCGTTATTGTTCCTTCTGTTTGGAACATGCTTCCCCCAGATTATCACATGGCTCACTCCCCCAGTTCATCAGGTCTCTGCTACATGCTACCTCCTCAGAGAGGTCTACCCTGACCACTCTGTCTCAAGTCACATACCAACCTCTTGCTCTGATTTATTTTTCTTGTAATCCTATCACCCTTGCACATAAGATGTCAATTGATTTTCACAATGATTCACTGAGATAAATACATTGTTATTTCCACTCGATAGATGAGGAAACTGAGGCTCAGAGAAGTGATTTGATTTGTTCAAGGTCATTCAGTTGATAAATGGCAGTGCCAGGGTTTGAACTCTAGATTGATGCCAAAGATGCAGCATTTAGCACTACTTCTTGTGGTCGGCTATATTCCCCATGACAATGAATGAATGAATCAATCAATAAAATGTTTGCCACCCCAAGTACTGGTAAGGCAGTGTTTTAGGATAAATTTGTAATTGTATAAATGTTCTTTGATGCTAATATGAGTTAGACGGGAAATACTTTTTTTAATTAAAAAGAATGACAATACCAAATAGGCAAGGATGTGGAGAAACTGGAAACCATACATTGCTGGTCGGAATGCAAAATGGTATAATTGCTTTGAAAACCAATGTAGCGGTGTATTAATCAGGTTAAAATATACACTCACCACTTGACCCAGCAACTCCAGTCCTAAGTATTTACTCAAGAGAAATAAAGCATGTCCATACAAAGGCTTGCACATGAAGGTTCATAGCAGCTTTCTTCATGTAACCAAAACCTGAAAACAACCCAAATGTCCATCAGCAAGTAAACGGATAAACAAATAGTGATATATCTATACTGAGGAATACTACTCAGCAGTGAAAAGGAACAAAATACTGCAACATGTAACAACATGGAAAATCTCAAAAGTAATATGGAAGTAAGAGAAGACAGACATAAAAGAAACATACGGTATGATTGCATTTATTTAAAATTCTAGAAAAGACAAAGCTAATCTACAATAGACAAAAAACCAAAAACAGGCAATGAAGTGGGGGAGAAGTTGACTGCAATAGGGTATAAGGGAATTCTTTGGAGTGGTAGAAATGTTCTATATCTTGATTAGGGTGGTGGTTACACAGGTGTATACCTTTACCAAAATTCATCAAGCTGAGTATTTTAATGGTGCATTTTATATATAAAACTATGCCACAATAAAGTTGATAGGAACTTTGGAAACACGCACAGATTTTTATTGCAGCATTACTTCAATAGCAAAAAGAGGGGCAGGTGGAATTGGCTGTTAACAGGTCAATGTTTCAGCTGTCTGTGGTCCTTTGCCATCAGAATGACAAACTTGTGGAAGAAGGTGTAGCTGATGGTAATGATGACCCTCTCGTGTTCCCAGAACATGTATCTCTCTTCCTGGAGGCTCTCTCTCTGGTGGCTGGAGTATGCATGGGGCAGGCTAGAAGTGCTGAAGGATTAATACCCCCCAAGAGCATCCCTCATCCAATGTCTGCCAGGAGTTGGTACATAAATGCCCCAGCGCCCTCATCTTCCAGGAAGGGTACCTATGAAGTGGGAATACTACAGTGTCTCCAGAATTCCCCCTCCAGCAGGAGTGAGTTCCAGGAGCCCACAGTTGTATAATTGGTTGCAATGCTCTCTTAATTGGCTTTCTTCCCTCTCCTATCTTATTCACCTACACCACTACAGTGTTTTCTGCATCTTCCAAATAACCTACTTTCAGGGGCGCCTGGGTGGCTCAGTCGTTAAGCGTCTGCCTTCTGCTCAGGTCATGATCCCAGGGTCCTGGGATCGAGCCTGCATCGGGCTCCCTGCTCAGCGGGGAGTCTGCTTCTCTCCTTCTGCCCCTCCCCTGCTCTTGCTGTCTTTCTCTCTCTCTCAAATAAATAAATGAAATCTTTTTTTTTTTTAAAGACTGATGGATGATACCAAGAGTCGGTCAAGATGTGGGGAAATGAGGGGAGGGGGTTGGGGGGATGTGGTAACTGGGTGATGGACATTAAGGAGGGCATGTGATGTAATGAGCACTGGGTGTTCTATAAGACTGTTTGAATTAATTTAAATAAAAAAAGATGTGGGGAAATGTTAGAAGAATTTTGGCAGCAGCCATCTGCAAGCAACCATCATTCTTGGCAAAGCAAGTCTTTACAAAATTCTTACACCCGTCCGTTGGGGACGTGGTAGCCCAAAGCTGTGTGCCATCTAGATGTCCATGACTAGGGGGATGGACAAATAAACTGTGGAGATGTAGACAATGACCTTCAGCAATGTGGCTAAATGTTAATAACAGGGATGGAGTGGGGGGAGCACAAAATTAAGTACTATTAAAGTAAATTAAACACAGAATTAAAATTATTTCTAAAGGGGCACCTGGGTGGCTCAGTTGAGCATCCAACCCTTTGTTTCAGGTCAGGTCATGATCTCAGGGTCCTGGGATGGAGCTCCACATCGGGGTCTGCACTCAGCGTGGAGTCTGCTTGAGACTTTCCCTCTCCCTCTGCCCTTCCCCACCTAAAATAAATAAATAAATCTTTTAAAAATTTATTTTTAGGGCGCCTGGGTGGCTCAGTTGGTTAAGCGACTGCCTTCAGCTCAGGTCATGATCCTAGAGTCCCGGGATCGAGTCCCACATAGGGCTCCCTGCTCAGCAGGAGCCCTGCTTCTCCCTCTGACCCTCTTCCCTCTCGTGCTCTCTATCTCTCATTCTCTCTCTCTCAAATAAATAAATAAATAAAATCTTTAAAAAAATTTATTTTTAAAATCACATATGTGTATTTCAGCACAGATACCAAACACATAAGAGCAGGGTCATTATCTTTTAATTCATGGTTCTGCCCGCCCCCCTCCCCCACACACATTTAGTTATGTTTGGAGACATTTTTGGTTGTCACAAGTGGAGAAGGAGGTTGCTACTGGCATTTAGTAGGTGGAGTCCAGGAATGCTGTTCATCATCCTACGTTGCCCAGGACAACCCCCCCACAACAAAGAATTATGCAGCTCAAATGTCAATAGTACTGAAGTTGAGAAGCCCTGTGTAGCCCTGCACTCAGCATAGTATTGCTGAATGAATGAATGAATGAATGAATGAGTGAAGAGATGATGGTAGCCTGAAGTGGCTGGTAGCAGTGGGAATACAGAAACACTGTAAGATACTTACACATCTTGGAAGTGTACTTGGCAGAATTCGGTGCGACAATACCTCTCTTTTTCCAGGAGATGTGCTCTGTCCTTGCCTGGTCCTGGGCACATCTCATTCATGTGGGGCCTCCAGTTGCCCTCCAGCCAGGCATCCCGCCCCCTCAATTTTCAAAGTCATCTGAGCTGCAGGAAACCGGCCAAGAATGAGCCAGGGCGGTGCCTGCGGGTGAGAAACTTTGCATGCCCTTTGAATCGCGCGGGGCCTGTGGAGCAGAACCCGCAGACCACAGAAGTACCCGGAAGGCTTGGGACACGGTGTGGGGGAGGGGCCTGGGCTCGTAAGAGTGGATTGAAGTGGTAGGGAAAACCGGTCAGAATGCTAAAGGGGGTGGGGGTTAGAATCCTGTGAGAGTGCCGAGGATAGGGGTTAGGATCCTTGGGGGCTGAGTTGGAATCCTTTGATGAGAGGTTAAAATCCTTGAGGGTAGCGTTGGCATTTTTTTGGGTGGATTGGATTGGAATCCTGAGGGGTGGATTAAAATCCTTTGGGAACAAGATTGGGATTACCCAGGAGCAGGATTAGATTCCCTGGGGTTAGGGTTATGAATCTGGAGGGCTGGGTCAGAATCCTTTGAAGAGAAGGGTTAAGATCCTTTGGTTGGCTGGATTAGAATCCTTGGGGGCAGGATGAAAAAACTCCGGTTGGCTGAGGCTAAAAAATCCTTCAAATGTGAGATTCTAAATCCTTTTGGGGGCAGAATTAGGATTTTGGGAAGAGATGGTGTTGCAGTTCTTGTGAGGACGGGTTTAATCCCTTTGGGGACCGCATTAGGGTTTGGGGAGGCGGGGATTATAATGCATTAGGGCAGGTGTAAGGTATTTGGAGGAGGGGGTGGGGTTAGAATCTTTGGGGGACGGATCAAAATTCTTAGGGGCAGGTTTATTATCCTTCCGGGCGGGGTTAGGATCCTTAGGGGCAGAGTTAGAAGCCTGGGATGGGCGGTGTTTAAAAAAAAATCCTTGGGGACTCCTGGGTGGCTCAGTCGGTTAAGCGTCTGCCTTCCGCCCAGGTCCTGGTCCCAGGGTCCTGGCACCGAATCCCTCATCGGGATCCCTGCTCAACGGGGAATCTGCTTCTTCCTCTGCCTCTGCTCCTGCTCTCATTCTCTCTCGCTTTCTCTCAAATAAACAAATAAAATCTTTATAAAAAAGTCTTTGTGCGGTGAGGGGCGCCTGGGTGGCTCAGTCGTTGGGCGTCTGCCTTCGGCTCAGGTCATGATCCCGGGGTCCTGAGATCGAGCCCCTCATCGGGCTCCCTGCGCCGCAGGAAGCCTGCTTCTCCCTCTCCCACTCCACCCGCTTGTGTTCCCTCTCTCACTGTCTCTGTCTCTATCAAATAAATAAATAAAATCTTAAAAAAAAAAAAGTCCTCGGGCGGTGGGATTAGGGTGCTGGGAGGTGGGGTGTGGGATTAGAGTCCCTGCGGTGGGGTTAGACTCTTCAGGGGCGGGGTTAGGATGCATGGGGGTGGGGTTAGAATCGCTCAAGGCTAGGCTAAGGAACCCAGATAGCCTGTGGGTGCCACAGCGTCCCTGGTCCCAGCCGGGACGCACCACCGAGGCCTAGAGGCCAGTGGGAGGGGACGCGGGCGGTTCAGCGTCCGGGGAGCCGGAGAAACCGCGCGGCGCCCAGGCCCCTCAGAGCGGGGCCCTTGCCTCTTCTCGAAAGTCAGCTCGTCTCCCTTCGGGCACGGGCGCCCCGGGACCCCGGGGGCCGCTGAGCTGGGGGGGCGCTCGAGCTGCGAGGACCCCGGCTGCCCGCAGGACGAGGAGCGGGAGCCCAGGTGAGTGGCGCGGACCCGGCCGCTGAGCGCCGCCTGAGGGTCTTCGCTGCGGGGGAACGGGGGGGAGCCCGGGGTGGTGGGCAGGGCCGGCTGGGGGGCGGCGGGGAGCGGCGGCGGTGGGGGGAGCGGCGGGCGGGCAGCGGGATGAGGGGCTGGCGGAGGAGATGGCCCGGCTGCGAACCTGGTGAAGCTCTTAGGGAGGGGAGCTCTGGCCACCGAGTGACTTCGATCCAGCCTCCGCTTCTCCGAGCCGTCCAAGGTTCCCTTTCTGCAAAAGAAAAGAAAAACGAGAAGGAAGGGATGGGGCTTCACGGAGACCGGGAGGGGAAGGCCCTTACGGTTCCTGGTGGGGGTGGGTGACGGGTCACGGCGGGTTGGCAGCGGGTCGGCAGCCGTCGTGGGGAAGGGGACAGCTGGACGTAGGCGTGACGTGCGAACCACACCCGGGCGGGGCTGCAGCTGGGCTGGCTCGCCGCGCTCCCGCCTCCTCCCGCGCTGGGCTGGTCCCCAGCAGGTCTGGGTCAAAACTCAAAACCTCCCGGACAGACCACAGGGTGTCTGCCCCGTCACTTTCCTCTTCGTCAGACCTTGGGCCAAGTCGCGCTCTCCCTCCCAATTCCAGTTTCCTCCTCTGTCAGATGGGGCTATTATTCTTTCTCCAAGGCTATAATGAGCTAGGGTCCGTGGGGGTCATGCAAGGGGAAGTGGGATTCTGGGAGCAACCTGCCTGTTGACCTTGAGCAAGGGATATGGCCTTCCTGTGCCTCCGTTTTTACACCTGTAGGATGGGGATATTAATAATAATGACTCCCTCACAGGGTCGTTTTGAAGGTTAGGTTGTTATTGATGGAAAGCTCTTAGAGCACGACGTGACAGGTATACATGTTAATACATGTGAACTATTGTCATAACTATCACAGTCTAGCCCAGTGCTTCTCAAACTTTGGCAGTATACCAGAATCACCTGGAAGGCTTGTTAAAACACAGATTTCTAGGCCCTGACCCCAGAGTTCCTGATTCAGTAGATCCACCTGCGACTCTGAGAATTTACATTCCCAGGTGATGCTGTCGCTGCTGATCCAGGGACCACGCTTTGAGAACCACTGCTGTAGACTTTGGCCAGCACAGAGAAAGGCTTCAATAGATATTGGTTCCTTTATCCCATGGCTTTCTCTTCACTATCCAATTTTTTTTGGGGGGGGGAATGTTAAAATAAAGAAAAGTGAAGGGAATAATATACCAACTATCCCATGAACCCACCACCCAGTATTAAATGTTAGCATTTTGCTATGTTTGTTTCTGATTTTTTTAAATAAAATTATTAAAAGTGACAGATAAAATTGAAGCCTCTCCACCTTGTCTCTCTCTCAGTCCTGCTTTTCTCCCTCCCCAGAGGCAACCACTGTCATGAAATATAGTCCTTTCCAGTCTGTGCCTTTAAGAATTTATTACATAGATATGGATGCATAAATAATACATAAAATTGTTTTTCTGTGTTTTAAAGATCTCCAAAAATGCTACCCAGCTGTGAGATTCTTCTTCAGTGTCGTGGGTTTTTTTCTTTTCGTTGCCTGACCATTAAGTTGTTAGGGTCTAGTCAGCATGAGAAACAGAGGCATACATAGTTCATTCCTTCTCAGTGGAGTGTCCCAGCAGGTGACCACCCTACCTTATTTCTCATTTCCCTGTTGCTGGACATTCAGGTGTGGAACAAGGTATTTATGACAACAAACCACTGTGCTGGGATCATCCTGGATGTATGGCCCTGATGGGGGTGGGAGGGTACAGGTGTTTCTTGGGAAAACCCCAAGAGGGTGGATGGGTCTCCAGAGGGGGCATCTGTGGCCCTCTCTTATTGTGTGGGAGGAGGACTGAGGCCTGGAAGTGAGTCTGGGTCAGAGAGGACAGAGTGTCTGGGGCTGCTGACCTCTCGGGGTCGCCGTCCCGGGTTTCCTGTTCTCCACTGCTGGAGAGGAAAGATCTTCATCTGCCTGACACTTGGTAGAAACTCAAGCAATGGAAGCATGACTCCTTTAAAAAAAGCTTTTTGGATAACAAATATTTTAGTTTATTTTTGTATAGTCTTTTTTGTGCACTTTTTATTTAACATAATCAGTAAACTGCTGGGTATATACAATTTTCATCCTACTTCTTTGCTTAGCACTACATTGTAAACATTTGCCCATGTCATTAAAATATCCTAGGATTTTTTTAAATTGTCATTTTATTTTTTAAGTTTATTTATTTAGTTAAGTAATCTTTACACCCAACATGGAGCTCGAACTCATGACCCCAAGATCAAGAGCCGCATGCTCCTCCAACTAAGCCAGCCAAGTGCCCCAAAATATCCTTGGATTTTTTTTATTTTTTATTTTATTCTTATTTTTTTTTAGGATTTATTTATCTGAGAGAGAAAGCAAGCAAGCACACAGAGGGAGAGGGAGAAGCAGTCTCCCCACTGAGCAAGGAGCTGGATGCAGGGCTAGATCCCAGGACCCTGGGATCATGACCGGAGCCGAAGGCAGATGTTTAACTGACTGAGCCATCCAGGCGCCCCCCCTTGGATTTTTTAATGGCCACATATTATTCCACTGTTTGGGTGCACTATGATTTGTTTAACCATCCTGGGAAAGCACTTTTATGTAGTTTACAATTTGTAAATTCTTTGGAGTCAAAATTCACATAGCATGATGAACTTAACCATTTTAAAACTAACAATTCGGTAACATTTAGTACATTCACGGTGTTGTACAACCACCACTTCTATATGGTCCCCAAATATTTTCATCTCCCCAAAAGGAAGCACTGAACCCATTAAAACAGTCATTCCCCTTCCTCCGTCCCCCCAGCCATGGCAACCCCCAGCCTGCTTTTTGTATTTTTTGATTAATTTACTCTGGCTTCTTCCACATAAGATAATGTTTGCAAGGTTCACCCAAGTTGTAGCATGTATTGGTATTTCAGTTCTTTTTATGGCTGAATAATATTTCATTGTATGTATATACTGCAATTTGCTTATGTATTCATCTGTAGATGGAAATTTGGGTTGTTTCCACCTTCTGACTGTTGTGAATAGTGCCGCTGTGAGCATGCGCCTACAGGTATTTGTTTGAGCACCTGTTTTCAATTTCTTGGGTTTATACCTAGGAGTGGAATCACTGGGTCATACGGTAATTCCATGTTTAACTTTTTGAGAATTTGCCAGATTGTTTTGCACCATTTTACATTCCCATCAGCCATGTAGAAGGGTTCCAATTTCTCACCTCCTTGCCAACACTTGCTGTTTTCCTTTTTTAAAAATTCCTATTATTATAGCCATCCTAGTGGGTGTGGGAAGCATGGATCTTAATCTCACCCCTAACCAGGCTGCTCCCTGGGGGCCCTGACTCCTGAGGGTGAGGAGAAAATTGTCTGCATTCAAGGGACCAGCCAGGTCTTGCACTTTAAACGCTTCCTGGAAAGTAAGGGCAAAGACACGTTGGTCTCCTAAACCACTGTATCACTAACATAGAGTAGGTGCCTGGCACATAGTAAGGCCTCAGAAACTTTGAACGTAGGAATGTTGAACAACCTCTCCCTTTCCTTGCCTGAGATACTTCAGCACATAGGTGTATTTCAGTTGGCCCCACGTAGTGATTCTTTTTAACTAGTTCCCAAGTCTTAACGTCAAGAGAACTCACACAAATCTGGATTTCTGTCTTTTGAAAAACTATGAAAGTTGGTAATGGTGAGACTAGAGACTCTGTCTCCCATGCCCCGCTGCTATTCACTCATGGCCGGTGAAGTTTTGCAGGGGCTGCCCTGTAGACTACCCCTGAGCTGTTGGTTTGCACCACCTTTTCTTGGATTACTTTCCTCAAGTGGGTACCCCCGTAGGCCCCTAAGGCCATTTGAGTTTTCAAGTCCTGCCCCCCAATCATGACAAGGCCTCTCCTTTTATAGAAAAGGAACGTCAGGCCCAGAGAGGCTAAGTAGCTTTCCCAAAATTACACAGCATACTAGCTATACAATCTCTCTTAGCCTCCATCTTTCTAAACAACCCCACAGCGCTTTGATCCCCACCCCGTGTTTCCAATTTCCTCCACCCCAGGGCTGGGAGCTTTAATATATTTCCAGGGGCCTGGGTAATGATGCAGAAGAAACCCTTGCAAAATGCGCCCTTGTTCTTGGCCGGTGCCCGTGGCCGCACATGCCGCGCCCTCTGCGTGTAGCTGCACCCTCCAAATGGCACTGCACTGGGGCCTGCTTTCCTGATACCACCTTAAGATACCCACCCAAGCTCTCACCATCACCCTGAAATCCTTTGGTCTAGGAGATTTGGGTGCAGCCAAGCGAATAGGAGACGTTTCCTCATCTCTGCCAGAGAAATGAACCATAAATAGAGCACGAGAGACCAAAGTGTGAGTGCCCACATTGCCTCATAGGAGCTGCGATGCGTTCAGCAAATCCCCTCACTCTTTGAGTCTCAGATTCCTCGTCTGAAAAATGGGAATAACGATACTACCTCCCAACTCACGTAGTGCAAGTCCTTTGATGTTAACACACAAAAAACTATACTCCATATTTTCTGCAGGCATGTATGTCTTAGTTTGAGTTTCCTTAGAAGCAGACCCTAGAAAAGGTGCCATGTGCATTTACTATTTAGTCTGTTTGGGAGAGGATCCCAGAAAACCCTGGGAGGAGAGTGGGGAAGTGAGCCAGAAGAGAAGGCGGCCAATAAAACTGTGTTATCAAGCCAGTCACTACCGTGGGCACTGGGAGATCACTTCCGCTGGGAGCCCTGGGAGCCCTGGGAGCCCTGGGAGCCAGTGAGCATGCGCGGCAGGTGAGGGACCTTGGGAGCCAGTGAGCGTGCGCGGCAGGCAAGGGAATTGAGGTATTTATCCTCCTGCTCCTGTCAGTCACTGGTTGAAGGCTGCTCCTGGAGGATGATATTTCTCTAGCACTTCCACTTGCCAAGCTCACGGGCAGAGCAGGTGCCAATGGCCACAGAGAAATCT